ATATCCATAATTGCTGCTTCCTCCAAACTTCAAAGATATTAAATCATAAGAGCTTCCTCCATACTTTCCAGGAATCTCTTTAGGGATAATTACCAGAAAGTTATAATTGCCTTTGACAATTAAGAACTGTGGATTAAAGTTATTCCAAATCATTCTTGTTTCCCCAAGCCTCAACTGTCATTGTCACTACAGGTAAAATGTTAAATATAATTCTGAGGAGAGCAGCGATCACATTTCACAGACCTCTATATCAGGGTCCAAATGCCTCTCTTTCCTTCAATACTGCCTGTCCTGATCTTCACAGTGAGACTCCCATCTATAAAGGCAAGAATTCCAGTGAATATTTCTCATTTCACTATGAGAATAGAGTCAGAAATGGCAAGTATTGGCATGAGAGCTTATGTCTGCAAAGGGATTCTGATCTAGAATTTTATCCATGAGGCTGTGGGGAATAAAGTACGATGTTTGTTAACTATGAGCTGAGCCACTGACAGTCCACTTCTGTGCTGACAGTTTCTAATAAAACTCAGTAAAATCCTTCCCAGAGATAGGTACCAGGGAGTAATTACAGTTTCACTAAAATGAGGCTTCATGTGCTTCAGGAGGGTAGGAATTAAATGTAGCTGTTGTGCCATAGCCATATATAAATGAACAAGTTTATTACTATTTGTCATGGCTCCTGTTTAGATCCATGTATCTTCAAGAAAATGGGTTTTTAGTCTAACTCTGTGGTTTATGTTACCCTTGGCAGAAAGAGTAACTGTCATCTGCTGAAGACACCTGTACCTGGATGATTATGGTGAGCATGCCTTCCCATGTGAATTTAGAGAAGCTGCACATACAGAAAAAGGAAAACTCTATTTTTACCTGCTGCAGACGGTAGCTGTCAGGAAGAAATAAACTTTATATTTATGTAGTGCTTTAAAAATATTCTTTGCATATTTGGTTGAATCTGGTGATACAGTTAAATGGTAGAGAATTTGCCTAGTATATTTGGTGAACTAATTTGATTCTCAACAGTGGAGAATTTACCAAGTTTAAGTTCTAGGAGGTTTTTTTTTTAATCGAAGTTACCAAATGTAGGCTTACACATATGCTGCACAGTAATGTACCTATATTTTCTATATTCTATGAGCTATATTCTCAGCCTGTATAAATAAGTTTTAGACGCTAATCTTATTTCAAACATCATGATCAAGTAATCTCATTTAAAATGTTTTACATGGACTATGAAGTATTGTTAATAATATGTATACTGTCACAGATCTCTAGAAGTTTTTCCTCTTCCTGCAATATTGTAGCAGTTATTCAGCAACTGTCTTTCCTCATGACTTGTCTTACACCACCAACATTTCATTCTTAATTTCTATGACATAGAATGATTTAGGTTTTATATAAAATTAAGATGGTGGGCTATTTCTTCATCTTTGCTTGATTTTATGAGGCATAATACTCTTAAACAGCAATCATACTGTCAATTAGCATACAATTTCTTTTTTAATTTTCTTGCTTTTTATAGGCTGAATAATATTTGTATCAATGTACACCTAAATTTTCCTTAGCTATTTATCCTTCCAGGAAAGAGAGCATGCTTCATTTTCAGTATTTTCTCTATTTCTGTAATTAACGTGGGGGTTCTAATAACTAATAGATTCTGATTTTAATTGTTTAATTGCTTACATATCCCTAGAAATGCAATTTTTGGAAAGATGGCATGACCTTTTTCTTTGTGAACTATTCATACTGTTTTCTACCACATCTATACTCTCATTCCTACCAACGGTGCAGAGTTCCACCTTCTCCAAGTTATGACTGCTCTGTGTTTCATCATTGTTGTTATTTCTAGTAACTACTCTGAACAATGTTTTTCTCAAAACATATTGTGGTTCGGGTTTGTATTTCCCAAATTATAACTAATGTTGAGTATTCTTTATTGTATGTTGGGGCCACTTTTGTTTTCCTTCCTGAGAAGTGTCTCTCCGAGCTTTGTGGCCCCCATGTTCATTGGGATATCAGTTTCATGTTGGTTGATCACGTTCTTCTGTTGGGGTGTAGTTCATTATCCTGTGGTTTCAACATATGTAATGTTAAAAATTTTATTTTCTTCATATCCATTATATTTGTCTACTTTCTTTTTTAATATAAATCAGTAGTCATCATATCTTGATGATACCCTTCTTGAACCTATATGGTAAAAGATGAGCAAAAGTTCAACTAATGTACAATTCAACCGATAATAATTCAGATTGTATCTAGCATTATTTAAAGGCTTATTAATGTTCATTCAAAGTAGCTTTTAAACAGTGTAATATTGCACTTAGTTTCCTAAATCACTAGAAGCCATGACAATGTCTTTTTTGCAATGGTAAAATGAGCCTTCTGCTACCCAGTATTTTTTCATCAGTCTTCTATGGAATAAATCTCACTTCCTTAGGACTAATTTTCTTTTAGACTAAACTGTAAGTAAAAGCTTTCCAACCAGCCTTCACAGATTCAAATTCTCACTCTCCTCAAATTTGGTGCACACAGAGTATCTTTTAACCTTTCTAACACTAAATTGCTCTTGTTTATGAGATTTTTGCCCAGGTGCACAAAATTGCGTTATGAAAATTAAAGAAAAGGTAACATTTGGAGAATTTTTACAGTGTGTTATACTTCATGTGCTACATAAAATTTATAGGTGTACCTTTTGGAAGTGTCCTAAAAAATATATAAGAGTTTATATTTGTCTTGGAACACAGTGCTTCTCTTTTGATATGATCAGCATAGCTACTAGTTGACTTCCAGTGGGATTCTCAAGCCCACCCATGAATATCAGTCACTGGTAATGATCGGAAGGGCCTTCAACAATTTGCAATCAGAATTATCTACATATTTCAGAATGTGGATTGAAAAATGAGAAATTTATATTATCAATACCATTTTGCCTTACATTTTCACAATTAAGGGCCCCAAAATTCTACTGAATTGATCTTCAGACTTCAGGAATAGGCAATACTTATTCACTCTATTTTATTAAAGTGTCTCCAAGACACATCATTGTAGTCTTCATCAAGACTGGGAGAAGTATACTGAAGGAAATCTTCAAGAAACGTGAATTACAACTTTTTCACTGGATTCATCTGTGTCTTCAGGTATGTGTCTCATCATCATGAGCCCCAGGAACATCATGTGTGTAGTTTACTCAGTTACAACTTTTTGGACATTTTAATGCACTCAATATTGTTATTCATAAACTCGATTGTCCTATGTACGTAATTGCCAAAATAAGAAAAACCATAACAGATCTACAGAGTTTTCAGGCAATATATTTTTGGATCCCATGACAAAAATAAGTCCACAGGCAAAACACTGCAGTGATTGTGGAGTGTTTCTTATTGGGGATAGTCTTGTGTGACAGTGGTTTGGTGAGTTTCACCTTATACTGAAATGAATGACAAGTGACACATATTCTAGTATCAATACTTACCACAGACATATTTTCTAAATTTACATGATAACATTTATGTGTAAAAAAAATGAAAATTCTATCAGAATTTGTGTGCACTGCTAAGTGGTGATTCAGAAATGGAACACAATGCTCCATGTAAAGATAGATCAAGAAACAATATTGTCATTAAGCTAACCACCTTTTGCTCTCATCTGCATCACTACCATAAGGCTATAGATCAGTTGGACATACATGTTCTAGTGAAGTGAACAGACAGAGGTTAATCATTACGGTATTGTAATATTTTACACGTTAGATCACTAGTACCTGTTTGAAATGGTATACTAATAAATTTAGTGAGCTCCTTAAAATTCAGCATTTGCATTCATTAATTGTGTAGGAACACTTGACTTCATTATTGAATATTACTGGTAGGATTTATTGTTGTTACTTTTTATAATTTTGTTCAATACATATCAAATAATCCGTCAAATAATCTTTGCAATGCTAGTGCCCATTTAGATGGTTTTTGAATTTAGGGCTCTAGAGATCAATAATATTACTCTGTAGGAGAACATCTGCTTTATCCATTGTGATCCATATTTGGCTTAGGTTGTATAAATTCAAAGAAATAAAAGTACTGCAACATTAAAGTTTATCTTACTTGTTTACACAGATACTCTCCTCTGGTTTATTGAAATACTTGTATCCATTACAACACTCCCACAAATATACACATTCTTTTTTAATCCATTTTTTTACTTATATGGGTACTGCCTGTCAAATTAATTTTAGCATTCCGGATGATGTATTATGCTACCTAGTAGCAGTTTTCCTGGACTTTTACTGATTAATATAACTGAACATATTTGTTTGTTTATGTTATATATTCAATAATGTGACTTTTGAAATTTCAAGCTAAATATAATCCCAAATTATTATCTTGTATAACATACTAGCATGCTTATTGATCAACATATGTATTAATCACAATGTCTCTCTGTTCCAAATGTTTTACCTTTCTCATCCTGTTTCCATGCTGTTTTTTTCCTTGTATGCTCATATACATATCATACAAGGTATTATGTTATGAATCATTATTATGAATTCATTATTATATTATGAACTTTGAATCATATATTAATTATGAAATACTTCTTAGTTGTTATAAAATGTGCATTTTTATCCATAGATTTAATATTTTTCTAGGAAAAATTGCCTTCTCCTTAGAGTCAATGAATAATTTTTTCATAAAATATTTGATATTTTTCTCATATATTTATGTTTCATATTGATTCAAAAAAGATCTGTTCTATGGCATGTAACAAATGTAGTTTTTCATTTTATAATATAACTGAAGTTAAGTTTCCGCATTTACCCAAGATATAGGATTTCTATTTCTTTTCATATGCTATCACTTCCCCTTTTTCTCTCAGTTTAGCAACACCTTATCCTTAATGATAATTTTCTTCTGAAATCAGATGAAAATTCTGTTCAACTCTATATCTTGAGATATTCACAATTACATGAACACACAATTTCAAAATTATTTTGTCATCTACTCTTTACAATGACGCCTGCTACTCAGAGGAATGACTGTTATAACAATTCAAATGAAATTATAACACAAAATGATAAAATAATTTCCCGAAATTTAGTAGTAGGAATAATTTTCTTATGTCAGACTATCATTGGTGTTGCTGGAAATTTCTTTCTACTTTATCATTATATTTTTGTTTTCCATGCTGGAAGAAGGTTAAGGCCTACAGATGTGATTCTGAAGCACCTGTTTATAGCCAATTCATTTGTTCTTCTTTCTAGAGGAGTCCCTGAAATAATGGGAGCCTTTGGACTGAAACAGTTTCTCAATGATATTGTATGCAAATCTCTCTCTTATTTTGAGAGAGTGGGCAGGGGTGTATCCATTTGTACCATCTGCCTCTTAAGTGTCTTCCAAAACATCATCATCAGCCCCATGAACTCCTGTTGGAAAGATATTAAAGGTAAAACTCAAGGATATATTGGCTTGTCCACTCGCCTCTGCTGGATCCTAAACATGATCGCCATTTTAAGTATTCCTCTGTATGCATTGCATTTGGATGCAAAAGGTTATGGCAGAATCATCACAAGGAAAATAAATGTAGGACACTGTTGTATTGTTGACTATAGGGCACTCATGGGCAAACTTTATATAGCGTTAGTAGTTTTGCCTGAAATTTGTATTTCTCTGCTTATAGTCTGGGCCAGTAGCTCTATGATTTGCATCCTGTACAGACACAAGCAAAGAGTCCAACACATTCATGTCACTAATGCTTCCTCAAGATCCCCTGAGTCTAGAGCCACACAAAACATCCTTGTTCTAGCGAACACCTTCGTCTCTTTTTACACTGTGTCTTCCATCGCTCGAATTTGCACTACTTCAGTTCATGATCGCAACTCATTGCTTGTGAGCACTTCTGAAGTAATTTCTTTGTGTTTTCCAACAACCAGCCCCTTTCTGGTCGTGGGCCAGCGTTTGTCAATATTTATAAACTCTCTTTCCTGCATAAGAAATACTAAATCTCTCTAATCTTTTCAGAAATATACAAAAAAAAACATGTTGTTTATTCCTTACTCCTTTTTGTGACCTAATGTAGAGCCCTTTTATCTTGTCTAAATCTAGAAATCATATTTTCTTAACTTCTGAAGGCAGGAAATCCAGTAGAATAGCAGATTTTTAAAAAGGAGTTTGGGACCCTCTTCTTCATCCACCTAGTACCATATCCAGCTAACTTAAGTATTATTTGAGTGTATTTTTTTCCAATAATTTTATTGAGAAACAAATAGCAATGAAACAGTTTCAAATCCGATTAGTAGGACACTTTCAATAATTAATACATTGCATATTGTTGTTTTAGTGGTTATTCATTGTACAAGATGCACACATGACATCCTGTCCACAAACACTATTAGAATAAATGTTTTTATTCATTGAATTAAGAAAATGTAGCTGTATATCTATTGTATTTTGAGTATACAGATACAAAATGATCTTTCATTTGTATCCTTTTTTTGTTTAGTTTTGGAGAAGGGTATTCCATTGTCATTTAAATATTATAGGTGCTTGAATTCAGCAAAATAATCCAATATAGTTCAGTAGTCCATAATAGTAGTGGGTTTTCCATAAAGACTGTCTTGAGTCTATTTAAATTGACTTAGTTCAGTGAGGGATCAATAAAAATATTTTTTGTTCATGAAATCATTTTGAACATGTGCATAAAGGCAGAGATAGGTAGAAGACAATCTTCAGTGACAGTTTTCTGTGCTCTAAGTTCTGTCCTATGCAGTCTTTTTAAAAGTTGATTTATGTTAAGAATTGTTTACACTAATAAAACAACTTCGATGATAGAAATAGTGTCAATGGTAGGAACAATAGCAGATACAGTAAAATGGAATGAAATGGAATTTAAGGATGAAAGAATAAAGAGGAGGAGAAGGAGAACAGATAGAAGAAAAGTATGGGAACAACACACTACTGTAATATATGATGGCTGAGGTGGTTGTACTTAGAATTTCCATCAGTTTTATTGAATACAGTAGAGAATGTATATAATTTTCCCTTTGAGTAACTCTGTATGCTGATAATTGAGAAATATGCAACTACATTGAGGACAGCAACGTGTAATACAAAAGCCATGCTTGAATATCTGTCATCCTGGTCTTCTAAATGGATATCTTTTCTGATATTATATCAATTATTGCTATACTCTCTTTAAAATACATTTTAAAAAGGTAATATTAAAAAGAGTCAAGAAAAAGAAATTAAGATTTCTTGAAAGCAAGTGGTAATATTCAATCAAATGTCCAACCTTTTGTAAGTATGTCTGTTAATCTGACCAAAAGTTTTAATGATACAAATAGATAATGCATTAATCATTGTTAATCAGCTATTCTTGTTTTGAAAATCTGTAACATGTATTGTTGTATGTTGCTTTTTGTTTCAGCAATTATTTCTGATTTTTGCTCTTGCTTTTAGATTTACTCTTAAAAATAAAATAAAATTATTTTAATAAAAGAAATTACTTTTCTTATTTAAGCAGTAGTATGACTCCATGCAAGGTATAACACTACCAAAGGTTACAAGAATTTGGCATTCTTGAGGAATGGAATTCTCTTTGAATATTTGTAATAGAAAAGAAAAACAAACAAGTAGGCAGTTTCGTAGGCTTCATGTATCTGAGGCAATGATATGCTCTGTCTTCTCAAAATATTTGAAAGTACTTAAGACCCAGAAGCTACATCAAGAGAAGTCCTTAGTGTGAAAGAGAAAGCCTTGAAAGATTAAACGAGGTCAGGTGAATTTACAGTTTTTCATAAATGACATAAGTCCCTGAGCCACGGATTTTGTAGCCTAACATTTTTGTAACTCACTGATTTTAAAACATTTTGTTGATAACTTGATATTAAATGCAGTTTCCATGTGACTTCTCACATATTCCATGAACTAGATACCAATTCATTCATGATTATTTCTTTGTTTCTTTACATAATAGATGTAGAAATTGTTTTCAAAATTAGACCCTTCTCTTCAAATACAAATTCCTAATCTTTTTTACAGATATCTAAAGCAATTCTGATAGCCTATTTCTTAGGAAATTGGCTATTTCCTAATAGCCTATTTTCATTAAATTGACCACAAATTCAATGTTTTATCTTGGTTAATGAAATCCAATGGAAATGGAGGCTCAAAAAACATTACACTGTATCCATATGCACTTTGGTCACTGTACCGAGCATTATGCCACTTTAGTATCAACACTACAGTAAAAATGGCATGAGAAGTAAACATTTGGAGGGTATTAGGAGTTTTTGGGAAGGATAACCACAGATATAAAGATATGGACAAAAGAGCAGTTTTTGAGGACTTCAGAAAGCAGGAAGACATTACATAAATATAGTTCCAAGGCAAGGACCAAGTAGAATGTGGGAAAGGGAAAACAATAAGTGTAAAAAGAAATGGAAATGAATATACATAGGATAGCTTGTTTAGCTATAATACTGATTTCTGACAGTCTAAAGAAAGGTACAGGTAATGTTTAAAATTTTGTCATCTTTTTAATTTTCAATAAAATTTTTAACTGATATTATAGGCTTAGATGTAGAAATCTGAACAAATAATTGGAAGTCAATAATATAAAATATAATAAGCTTTGTTTAGTTCGTAACTTTTTTAGTGAATTTCTGCATTGTTTAAAAGAGATTTCTTTACAAATTGTATTATGATTAAAAACAAAAGCATAGGGGATGGGGAGATGACTCAGTAGAATAAGCACTTGCCTGGCAAACACAAGGGCCTTTAAAAAAAAAAAAAGCATAGTCATTCATAGTCCATGCGCAGTGAGTGTGTGGGAGAGGTGTCTCTTCCCCCTACTCTACCTTGACCCCTCCAGACTCAGTTCAGGCTTGGCATACTGTTGTGAACCCCTGCACCTGCAATCCCTACAGAGAGTGTAGGAGATAGAACCCCCAGCTAGGCCAGGAGCAGAACATCTTCTCAGAGAAGCACAACAGGTTCATCCCCAAGGGCAGCAGCAGGAAGGAGATAAGCACAGCAGCAAGACCCAAGTCAGGCACAGCTGGAAAATCCAAACTTTGTAGATACATACCTCAACTTCAGTAGGTGCTAAGGTTATAACTGTAACAAAGATCTACAACAAAGATCAGAAGACAGTGCTACACAAAATGATGAGAAGGAACAAAATGCCACCTCAGAACCCAAGTCCACCAATAACAAGTACAGAGGACAGTAACACAGAACAAATTGGGAATCACACAGCTGAAAGCAATGAATCAATGGCTTCTGAAATAAAGAAACAGTTGCAGAAAGGTATAGAGGAACTCATATTGGAAATGAAAAAAGAAATCCCTGAATTAAAAACATCTGCAGTAAATAATCAAAAGCAGAAACATATGGAGGAAACCCAAAGCCCACTCAAAACAACTGCAGAGGACACTAGCTCAGCTCAAATGTATGAATTAATAGCGTTGATAGTAAATAAGCAACAGCAGAAAGTTACAGAGGAACTCAGAGCAGAACTCCTTTCTGAAATAAAAAAAAGAATTCTCAGAACTCATAGCATCTAAAGTAAAAAGTCAACTACAGAAACATATGGAGGAAACCCAATCTGAAAAAACACTGCAGTAAAAGAACTTATAACTGATTCTAAAGAAGACATTGATAAAAAAAAAATAGAGGAGAAAAGAAAAATGACAGATTCCTTGAATGAGCAATATAGGAAAGAAATAGATCGCATGAGGCAGAGTCAAAGAGATATAGAGGACATTAAAATCTCAATCATAAGCTTGAAAAACCATTCAAGTGAAAGAGAAGACAGAGTTTCAGATCCTGAAGACGATTGTGCAGCTAGTGAAAAGGTAAGAAACGATCTCTTTAAAACAATTAGGATGCAGGAAAGAATAATCCATCAACTGCAAGATGATGCAAAGATGAACAATGTGAGAATAATAGGCATCATTGAGAAACAAGGAGTCAATAAAAATGACATTAAAAAATATGGGCAGAAGTAATAGCAGAAAACTTCCCAAATATGAGGAAACAATCTGACATTCAGGTAACCGAAGCTGACAGAACGCCGAGTAACCTCAACCCCATTAAAAACAAAACAAGACATAAAAGAGTCAAGATCCCAGAAATTCAGCACAAGAATAATATACAGAAAGCCGACAGAGAAAAGAAGTAGATCACATTCAAAGGAAAACCCATCAGAATTATGGCCAAGTTCTCTTTACAAACGATGAAGTCAAGAAGAGAATGGAGCAGAGAACTTTAAGTTCTCTATGAAAACAAATTCCAGCCCAGACCGCTAAACCATCCAAAACTCTCTTTCAAGTTTGATGGAGAAGTTAAATACTTTCATGACAAAGAACAGAGGAAGAATTTCATGATGACAAAGTCAACCCTACACAGGCTACTGAAAGATGTTCTAGAGAGGGACCAAAATGATAAGAACTCCACGAATGAGATCAGAAGCAACCAACTAAATAGTGCAGGCAATTAAACACAGGAGAAAAAGGAGTAAATGACAACAGGTAAATAATATGTCAATCATTAGTCAATACATCTCATTTCTAACCACCAATGTAAATGGACTCAACTCACCAAATAAGAGAAATAGACTACCACATTGGGCTAGGAAACAAAATCCAAAAATATGCTGTACACAAGAAACACATTTAACTCATGAAGACATTCATAGGGTGAAGGTAAATGTTTGGAAGACAATACTACATGCCCCAGCATCTCAGAAAAAAGCAGGGGTACCAATCTTATTCGCAGATAGTATCAACTTCAAACCCACAATGATCAAGCGAAATAAAGAAGGCCACTATACACTAGTTGGGAGAAAAATTCAAGAGGAAGAGGTAACACTCATAAGTATGTATGCACCAAACATGGGAGCACACACCTATACAAAGCAAATCTTAATGGACATGAAAATCTAATATCCAATACCACAATCTTTACAGGAGACCTTAAGAACCCCTTATTCCAGAAGGATAAGTCAACCA